TATTATATACATTTAAAGATAAAATGTTTTATCTTAAGCGTGACATTCCATCAACAGGAAAAGCCAGTGTCCTCTCTTCATTTCCAAGCCACCACTGACTCTACTCATTTTTCCAAAAGACACATACAGAAGATTTCATCTGAAAATATGTCTCAAAATTGTGTAAAAATGATGCTTGATTTTTTCATACTATGGTACGCAATTGCAATTCCTCTCTGACACTGACTTCCCTTTCAAACTTAAGGTGTGATATGGTCATAATCCAAGACAAACAAGGGAAAAATACATATATTTGACCCTAAAGACAACTGTCTTTCCAATGCAAGTCTCTGACCTAAAAAACACTTCTTAGCTCCCTGGGAGTAAGAGAAAAGGGTGGAAGAAAGGCAATAAACTGCTGCTGTATACAATTAACTCAGTTACTAACATGTGTAAATTGCTGTCTGAAGTTACAGGTGATCTAACATAGTTTTATAATTACAAAATATTTTAAAGGAGTAATTTTGAACTGAGTTAAAGCATACTTCTGGTAAAGACTTAGTGGCATTCATATGATTTTAAGCTTACCTCATTTTTTCCATTCTTGCTGTTATTGTTGCCCTGTGAAATCATTTTTTCCAGAACAGCAAGCAGATGCAAGGCTTTCTCAGCTTGGTAAGTTAGCAGATACAAGTCTACAAGCAAGAAGCACACAGCCTGGGCAAACTTCTCCTCTGTAAAAAGCAAAGAAGTAAAAATGATTTTACAGCTCTAATATCAATCCTTCGAAACACAACTGAAGAAAAAAAAGACTATGAAGTGTATCTATGCAATATTACGAGAAAAATAAATGTATTACATAAGAAAAAAAATGCAGACATCTACAGATAAGTATATGTAGAGGAGAAAAAAAAAAGGTAATGCATTCAAATGGCATCAGCATAAAAGCATAGACTAAAGACAACTTAACATGTATTTCAAGTTTATAGATTTTGAGAATTGGTCTAAGCAGATCAGCACTAAAGATCCAGTGTCTCTTATAAACAGATGGAGCCATATGCACATGTACAATCCCACAGAACTTTAAAGGATTCCATACAAACACATCTCTGCTTGGCTGGCTTCACAGAGCAAGTCCCAAATAGGCATAGTGAAAACTGGGAGGAATTGAAGGAGAAACACAGGAGCATGTACTTAATTTATTGAGACACACACATCCTTCAGGCTTGTCACCTCTAAAATTCAACAGGGGTTATGACGTTATCTCATACAAGGATGGCAATTCCACTATACAGGGTGCCACAGCTCATAATACCTGGAGATTTTATATTCAGGCAATTATATAAGACCTCATGCAGGTATTTAAAAATGTGAGTGCCCTGACAAACACACACCCACCCATGAATTTGTATGATGACTCAAAATACTAGACTATAAATAATTTAATTAGCTTGTCCATTTATTTACAGAAATATTTTTTTAAGTTATAAAAAATCCATTTCAGTTTCATTTCACTTGTCTGCTAAATGTCTCTGAAGTATCTGTCCCCCAAACTCAACTGTTGACCTCGATATAAGTAAAACATATCCTTCATTCCAAAGCCTATCTACTTTTTTTGAGCCACATTAGGCAATTTACAAATCACTTGTCTGCTAGTGAGAAAGACTGAATGATCTTTCTGTAGTTACTGCATGAACAAAATTCTTCGTGCTGTCTACATACCAAAAGGCTCTATAAACTGGTACAGCTTCTCCCCAACGGATATAGCTTCAGTGTACTGGCGCAGATGATACAAAATAACAGCTTGATTGTAGTACAGCATACTATTTTCAACATCATCTAAACCATCCATTTCTTCAACGGCTGAGTGAACCTGAAAAAAATCCCACCTCATTTCATTCAACTTTCAATTCCTGTGATTTCAAAAAGTGTCAAATATTTTATAAAAATAATCCAAAGGTATTAATCCATCTAAAGATAAGACAGTAAGAGTTATAAGCTAATAAACTTTATCGTTGTTCAACACAAAGCCACTGAAAAATTTACAATGAAATAGAAAGCTGTCAGTTGACCAGTAAAGCAAAATTTTCACTTTTTATTTTATATGAAATTACTTCAAACCATTTCAGGTTAAGAAACTTTCTACCGAAAGACTATAGCATGTCTTTCTATTGTTATAATCTCTGGAATGTTTAACCTTTGGATCAATTTCAATAACAACTAAAAACATAATTATAAAAGCAGCATCCTAAATTATTAAACAGACTCAGAGGTTTAAAAGTACTTTCTTATGTTACTTTCTCATTCCTTTGTCAACTCTAGGGGACAAGGGGCAGAAGTTTTATTCCAATTTCACTGGAAGATCTCATCAAAATCAAGTACCCTGTCAATATGTTTGCATTACCTGGTTCTTCAGCTGGTTAAGGGTTTGCCTCAAACTGTCTGTTGTAGTCTGGTTACTTTTACAGAACTCAGCAACAGCAGTATTCAAAGTTATTTTGTAGTCATCTTTGTTAATATCTTGAAGGGTATTTAGGTGTTGTAAACAAGTATCATAGTTTCCAGCCTGGAAATTGCAGACACACCAGAAACATGCATTAGAAGATACAAAGTATAACTAACACACTAGTAAGATTTAATCAAAGTATCTCCTACCTTAGTTTAGAGAGCAAAGTAGTATTTCCTTTATCAATAGCAAGTGAAGCAAACTAAACATCTACATACATACTTCATTATTTATGCAGATTAATATGTATGAGAAGTAAGCCTTAATGTTGAAGTTGCATCCAAACTTCAAAAAGAATTTTGTAGAGGAAGGACAAATGGAGTAGTTGATTATAAACAGATGTTTCCATGAAAAGTGTTATTCTGATTTCTCTTCATCATATTATTTTGAGTTTCAAGATTCTTTATTTCCTCAATTTTCATAATCTTTCTTCATCACATGTACATTGAGCAGCTGCAGTTGCTTACATAAGTCCCAGCCCACCATTTTATTTTCATTCTTCACTTCATCTGGAGAGACTGTGAGTTACAATTTAGTCTGTTGAAGTCAGTTTAAGACAGGTTGAAAAAAAGGGTGCCACTTTCCCAGTTCAGGTTTAAATAATATTTTTGCAAGTTTTGGCAGTTGAATGAAGTATTCAATCACCTAGGCGCGCCTAAAACTAGGACCCAAGCATGATGCTCCTCTGAGGTGTGATTTAATGAAGAAATCCCTTTCTCTGAACTCAGGAATAGGGAGGGACTTCAGAATGGCTCACCTCTTTCTGCTTTCCATTCTAGTCTTTTTTGTGGTTGTGCAGGAAGAATTTAGTGGCACTGAAGAATAAAAGGGAACTCCAGACTCCACTACATTAAGCCTAAATGATCTGTCACTCTCTACTGTTCAGTTCCTATACAGGAATAATCACCTTCACCTCTTCTGTACCAGGGTGACTTCCAATCTGGTCAGACAGATGTGCAGATTTGTTTCCATCTCTGCCAACACTTCACAATCAAAAGCTATGCTCTTGAGCACCACGACCACTCTCCACTTTCTCCTCCTAAGTGCTGTTCCATGGAGCTTCTCCTGAGCTACTGCCTAACTTCCTCTATTATGGGAAGAATTATGACAGAGAGAGGCTCTGTGGTCCTTCTGCTCTTCCCAATAAAGCTGCCATTCTGCAGCTACTCTCAACAGAACCACCTCAGTTCCTTCAGTCCCCTGTGAAAGCACAGTTACACCATCTACAGAGAGATGCAGCAGGACATCGACACACAGTGTTTCCACAACCAAGTACTAACAGCATGGATTGCCTGGCGATCACGTGCACAAAGACAGTGCAGCTGAACTGCTGGCATGCTCTTTAATTGAGACAGTCCATCTCCCAACGATTTGATTTATGAGTTCGCATTTATGCCTTCTCTTCAACGGCAGCAGCCTTCAGATCACAGCAACAAGGCTTCTAACAATGCTTGGACTAAAAACCTTTAACCCTTAAATGCTCAGCTTACTTTTTGATGTTTTTCTTCAGTCAACAGTCCTTTACTAGGCAGGATCTAAAATATAATATACGATTTCATAGGGATTCTATCAAGACTGAAACTGGAAGTGCAATATCATAAAGCCGCGTGCAAGGCAGCGCACAAAGCTATTCACAGCATCTCAATAACAAGCAAGATTGGCTAATAAGGCACCAGACTAATTCTGCTGACATTTGTGATCACTTCACAACTCTGTGAACTTAAGACTTCTTAAAGCAAGAAAAAAATCGTGAGATAAACAAGATGTACAGGACCAGTATAAAACCAAAGATGAAGTCACCAGCAGATCCAAAGTATTTTAGGTATGTAGATCTGTGGGCAAGGTGGAAAACAGATGATCCTTCCCTGTGCTTCCAGTTCTCCCAATCAAATGCCAATGAGCAAAAGTTATTGAAAAACAGTAGTTGAGCTAGAAAGCACTCACGAAGACATCAGTGAACATCAGCTGTGGTTTAAGGACCAGCTACATGCACTTCATGTAACAACATTCCAGACAAAATAAAAGCAATAAGTGAAACACACAAGCAGGAATCTCAAAAGATGGTATTTAAATTCTTCCCCGATCTATTTAACATCTAAAAACTGAATTATGTAAAGCATTGTGGAGATAGAGATAGAACAATTAAAAGGAAAAGCAATTATACTTCCTGTCACTTGCTACACTCAATAAAATTAGGAGACAATACAAAGAAAGTAGTAAACTGAAAGACCTGGTACCCGAATTTTAACACACAAAAACAATTTTCCAGGAAACACAAAACAGGTAGTAAATACTGCCTGTAGGTGCTGAAGAATATGTTTTAATGGAAAGTCACAGAACAGCATACAATGCTTCTTGTGCAAGAACACAGCAAGATGCTAAAACTAAAAGGGTTTGTTTGGTTGCTGGTTTTTAAATACATGTGGTTCCTTTAAACCCTTGAACACAACATTTTTAGCTTGAACCGATTAATTCTTCAGAGACATCATCCATTTCCAACGTTGATACAAAATAGCAGCCTGCTTCTAATTAACTCATCACACAGCTTTTAATGCCACTAAGTTTTGAGAATCAAGATTAAACGTGCTCTTGCGCGCTTCATTCAAGTATCCCTTTCAGTCTTCTCACATCAGACAGAAAATACATGTGCTGGCTTTATAACTAGTGCTACTTTTGATAGCCTGTTAATAGATTTGCAACTGTACTAAGAAAACAGGAAAAATAACTACATAAGCCCATTTAGCAGTTACGTGGTAAATCAGAAGTCTCAGAGTCTGGCTTTGTCTTACCAGGAAGGCTTGTAACGCACTGCTCGACAGTTCCTTTTCCTGATCAGTAATCCCAGAAGTATCTGCTCCTTCATGTTTCTCGGCACCTTGATCTGCAAAGTGGACAGAAGATTACAAGACAGCTTGCATAGGTGATGACAGCTATTCAGCTTAAAAATGTTGTTTCTTCCAGTTCTCAAGATACTCCTGCCAGTACAAGTAACTCTTCAGATAACTGCAGCACTGCTGCCCTACTACACTAAAATACCCCAAGTTATCCTATACCCCCAGTAAATTCCTCTTCATAAAAATGTGAATGTAATAATCCTGGCTAAATTATTGCACTCAATCAATAACCAAAGTCCTGGAAATTAACTGACAATGCAGAGATTTATATTTCTCTTTAAGGCTGCAACTGTCAGGAAGGGACGCTTTAGGGGACAACACCAAAACCAGAGCAAACACTGGAACTTCCACCCAGCTCCCTGCTTTGGAAGAATAACTCTCCCTAAATAAGAGGCTGCAATTGAACCATCATTGTCAAGAACCATTGACAGACCTGATACTTTTTTTTTTTAAAGCTCTTTATACTTTTGAACTCTTCAATATAGTCCATCAAACGCTATCTAGTGATTACACTGCCGGACACGAGCAAACGCGGCCTGTTCACTTTCTCAGCCCGACTCTCGATCTTGCAGATCTTTCTTTGAACCGTCTCTCTCCGAGGTGAGCAGGCACAGATTGTTCTGCATCTTCCTCACACGTTTTTTCCCCAGAATCTTCTCCAATTCTACTATATCCTTTTCCAGATTAAGACAAGAAGAACAGCATGCAGGAGTTATGATGGTGGTCCCTTTGAACACTTAGGTTGCAATATGATGAAGTTTTAATTGTCTTCATTTTCTTTTACATAGAATTCTTAATGTTTTACCTTTCAGTCACTGTTAAGTATATTTTCCAGAAAGGAGTCTACTGAACTCATTTATCATAATATAATTAAGAGCTTAATGAAGTTGCATTAAATACCACAATGCAGACATTCCATGTCCAAGAAGCTGAAAAAAGCCCCACAAAACCCTTCCTTGTACTGAACACTAACCACTAGAGGAGAAAAAACCAACACAAAACACCACACAACCACTACACCACTCAGCTTATTTCTAGAAGCATTAACTCATGTGCTAGAAGACACAAAAATCATTTAGTGCTTTTGAAACAAGACTTCATAAACCAGCAATGGTTTCCACTTTGCAGAAAATTATTTCTTGAATTTCACAGAGGAAGCTTGGCTCTAACCTACCTTTTGATATCTTAGTAGGGCAGGTAGGCTTTGTAAATTCAATGTCTTCTTCCCTAGAATTCACAATGTGTAATGCAAACACAATTTTGTTTTCATATTGAACAACTGAAAACACTTATCTGTGAGCTCCACTGCAAAAGCCATTCCCCATCATCACCAATATATCTGGATCACTTGCTACTGACTAGGAAAACTTACCAATATAAGACAAACAACAACAAACAGTAAGGGGCAACCAAACCTCAGAAGATACATCAATACAACCACAGTAGGAATAAAGCAGATGTAGTAATCTATTCATAGCTTGTGCTTGTTGCTGGGAAGACAGCAAAATCCCTTTCATTGCCTTATGCAATAACACATTTGAGCAAGAATTTTAAGTATCTGGTCGTGACTTTCATTCTGTATCCAGAGGCCAAAGAAGTTGAGATTTTAAAATCTCAACAATCTTACATCTGCCAGTTACAAATTAACTCACTGTGATTTAGGCAAAATTCAGGATTCAGCAGTTTCAGTACCCTGGGGAGATGGAGCCACAGGGGGCTACAGAACTGCACACACCTGCTATAAAAATCTGCCAGTGCATGAAGCATCAGTCAACACCAGTTGCGCTGCCTCTTCCTTGAAAGGGAAAGGCAGAAGAGCAAATTCAAACACAAAAAAGCTCAGAATAATTTTGATGTGCCAAGGTTTTCTGCAGCAAAAGAGGAAAGGAACAAGAAGTACCTCTCCTTCAAGCTAAATATAGATCTGATTCCTGCTCTAACTCTTGTGGTTGCACTGCTGCAGAGAAAGCTCTCGCACTCCCCAGGATCTCTACAACAGCAGTGAATAAGCAGATGCATTTTCCCCTCAAACCTTTATGCTCACAGTTAGGTTATCTGCCTTACTTGCTCAGCATGCCTTTCAGACTCTGCTAGTGAAAGTCATCCTCGTGCAAGGATTTGAGACTCCAACTTCTGAGGTTAGGAACACTTGGTCTGGTCAAGAGGT